ATTGGCTGGCTTACTCTTGTTTGGGTAAGGTAAGAAGAGTGAAGCTGTGTTGCTGAATTTGCAGGTGCAATTCTGAGCTGTTCTCTCATAGATTGGGCAGCAAAAAAGTCAAAGAATTTGTAGAGGAAGCCACAAACCAACTTTAAAGAATAAAAAGCTTTTCTAGCCCTTTACTCTTCCACTTTTCATGCTCATACCATTGTATGCTTGAGGTAATCCACTAGCTAAACAAACTTTTGGCATGCATATTGCATTTTAAAAGCTCAGTATGACCTTAGGGGGAAAAAGTTGCTCTAAAATTCAATGAAAATTGAAAATCAAACGGCTAAAATGAAGTTTTGGAGAGATCTTCAGAATGCTATCAGAAAAAAAAAATAAATCATAGGACAAGTTACAGCTACTGCTTTTCTTCCCAATTCAGCAAAAATGTAGTTACATACCTGCAGGAATTCTTCTGAAAAAAACCTTTACAAAACCTTCATGTTACCCTCCCCAAAGGATCTGTCAGGATTTGTCTGGTTAACTTGTTCCTATTCTCTGAGATGCAGGTTTCCATCTGAAGTGGACTTCCACAGGCACTTGGCAAATGCCTATGGCTTTCCATTAATTAATGCAGCTTTTCCTGTGACAGCACCTGAGAAACACTGGAGAAGCAATGCAAAAGATCCTTAACCTGCCTATGATTTTAATATCTTATTAAATATACTTTGTCTGAACTTTAGACTCAAGAGTAACACCTGCTGTGCCTATTAGTGAAATAAATACACTCTTCTAATAAGCAGTCACTTAGTAGAAAAGGGGAATAAATCCTTTGCTTGATTTTTCCAGCAACTCCTTACAGATATTTTTCTAAGAAACTAAAGAAATGCTAAATCCTTTCAATTCTAAAATAAGCATCATCTTCAGCTGTGGTTTCTATATACTGATAGCAAAACGTAACAACTGTACTTCTGTACAGACAGTCTTGACTCAGTGTTGATGAGAATCCCTGGAGAATGCAAGCTTTGGTTCTCAAATGTGTAGTCACTTTACAGTAATTTTTTGCATAAATATGCAAAGAATTGCTTTTGCAGAAACAAAATAAAGAGATCTACATTACCATGAAGACTTTATAAAGCCAAAGAAAAAAAAAAGAAAAAGACAAACAAACCCCCACAAACAAAACAAAACAAAACAAGCACACAAACAAACAAAAAAACAAAGCCCCAAAATAACAAACAAAAAGCCCCCAAAACCCACCAAAAACCTCTTTGTTTCAGTGTAATAGAGAAATACAAAATTGGCTGGCTTACTCTTGTTTGGGTAAGGTAAGAAGAGTGAAGCTGTGTTGCTGAATTTGCAGGTGCAATTCTGAGCTGTTCTCTCATAGATTGGGCAGCAAAAAAGTCAAAGAATTTGTAGAGGAAGCCACAAACGAACTTTAAAGAATAAAAAGCTTTTCTAGCCCTTTACTCTTCCACTTTTCATGCTCATACCATTGTATGCTTGAGGTAATCCACTAGCTAAACAAACTTTTGGCATGCATATTGCATTTTAAAAGCTCAGTATGACCTTAGGGGGAAAAAGTTGCTCTAAAATTCAATGAAAATTGAAAATCAAACGGCTAAAATGAAGTTTTGGAGAGATCTTCAGAATGCTATCAGAAAAAAAAAATAAATCATAGGACAAGTTACAGCTACTGCTTTTCTTCCCAATTCAGCAAAAATGTAGTTACATACCTGCAGGAATTCTTCTGAAAAAAACCTTTACAAAACCTTCATGTTACCCTCCCCAAAGGATCTGTCAGGATTTGTCTGGTTAACTTGTTCCTATTCTCTGAGATGCAGGTTTCCATCTGAAGTGGACTTCCACAGGCACTTGGCAAATGCCTATGGCTTTCCATTAATTAATGCAGCTTTTCCTGTGACAGCACCTGAGAAACACTGGAGAAGCAATGCAAAAGATCCTTAACCTGCCTATGATTTTAATATCTTATTAAATATACTTTGTCTGAACTTTAGACTCAAGAGTAACACCTGCTGTGCCTATTAGTGAAATAAATACACTCTTCTAATAAGCAGTCACTTAGTAGAAAAGGGGAATAAATCCTTTGCTTGATTTTTCCAGCAACTCCTTACAGATATTTTTCTAAGAAACTAAAGAAATGCTAAATCCTTTCAATTCTAAAATAAGCATCATCTTCAGCTGTGGTTTCTATATACTGATAGCAAAACGTAACAACTGTACTTCTGTACAGACAGTCTTGACTCAGTGTTGATGAGAATCCCTGGAGAATGCAAGCTTTGGTTCTCAAATGTGTAGTCACTTTACAGTAATTTTTTGCATAAATATGCAAAGAATTGCTTTTGCAGAAACAAAATAAAGAGATCTACATTACCATGAAGACTTTATAAAGCCAAAGAAAAAAAAAAGAAAAAGACAAACAAACCCCCACAAACAAAACAAAACAAAACAAGCACACAAACAAACAAAAAAACAAAGCCCCAAAATAACAAACAAAAAGCCCCCAAAACCCACCAAAAACCAAAACAACAAACATAAGAACTTGAATCTAGCATTCTGAACGCCTACAAGCAGAGGGACAAAAACATACATAGATGTCTGGGTCGATCATTAAGAAAAATACACAACAGCCTACACGTACATACATTCTGAAGATCAACAGATGTCATTCTTCCAGTTGTATGAACTGTAAAATCTGTCTCAAAGTGAACACCTGGAACATTTCAATCTTAAACCTAGAGCTGATCTTCTAGCACTAGATTCCTTGGGGATTATAATGAAAGACTGACTGCATAAACCTCTGCCCTTGTCTGCTAATGAATTTCTTTTCTTAACTCAATTCAGGCAACAGGACATCTTGTCCAAGCCATAACATGAATGTTTAGAGTTGCTCAAATGCTGTACTTACCTTAGCCCAGCATCACAAGTTCACTGGTAATATAATATTACTCAGAACTTTATGATTACATATGGAAGCTTACTCTTGAGTATTAGTAGTTTTGACATTCTTGAAGTGTTTAAGTCTCCCCAAAAACCAGACATTGTCTCAGTCTTTTTGCTTTTTATGATTTGTTTGCTTGTTTTTTGCCTTCTACGTGTGAAAAAAATTTCTAAAATCTAAAGTAACAGAAGCATTAAGAAAACATGGCTGTGGTTTTGCCATTGAAAAACAGATTTAAAAAATTATTATTTCCCTTGCAATATCTTAAAACTTTGCTTCTAGGTAGTATTTCTTACAAAAAACCCAAAAAAAACCCCCACAAATGTGTGCTTTACAACCATTTGATCTGTCTGAATCATGGTTCTCTAAAACATGTGTGTACCCTGCAGTGACTGTGTAGGTTCTTTACCTCCTTAATTTTCACTTGGCAAGTAGCCCAAGTCTCTACTTTAAATTTCCCACATGGTAGCACTACTATGGCACCTGAAGAGTAATTAGTTGTAAGAAAGGGAATTTGAATTGGTTGCTGAGAAAGAAAAAAATGTGCATGCCTAATAAAGATTTTTCCTTGAATACCTGCAACACCATTTATTTATTTTTGCTTAGAATGCATGACCCTTTAAATAGAACAGTGACCATTTTTTAAAAAACACTTTCCAGAAAAAAAGAGAGAAAGAAAACTGGTTTAGTTTTAAGATCATGCTCTTCCACTTTTAGTCAATCTTCTACATAGCAGCACTTATCTTGACACAATTGAATTTTTTTTTAAAATTTTTTTAACCCGTTTCCTGTTAATGGCCTTTTTTTTTTTTATTTCTCACATTGCTCTCCTATGGACACCTAAGGTGTAGTCTTCTAGGAAAGCAAACCGTGAAGATGTCTGAGCAAGCAGACTATTTTACCTAAATTACACATGCAGCTCTCAGTGACGTTTATACTGTCCATGAAACTTTACATTATGATACTGTTTGTTAGACAGGCAGATCTCCATTGGTTCCAATGACCTTGGAAACTCTTTCTGAAAAATTTATTACACATATATATAGTTATGCAAAATGAGTAACAGAAATTAGGTTTTCCCTCCTCTAGAAATTAGCAGTTCTCCAGCCCTAAGAAAGTGAAAAGTGCTGCTCCTGATACTGCTTCTGCCTTCTGTGCAAAGACAGAAATGCAGAGAAGATTGAGGGGGAGGGGATTTGATTTCTTTTTTAATGTCTGCCTCCTTCCAGCAAGTCCATCTGTTGTAGCACTATAATTCTGGAAGCAGGATGTGTGTGTGACCAACAGGAGGCAATTACTGCAAAAGTGTTTGTTGATTCAGCTCTATAAAAGGCAGGCCAATCACTACAGTATGAATAGAAAAGAATTCCAGCTGAGGAGCTGCATACAGATTAACACAAAATACATATACATAAATGAGAATGGGGAAAACCAGAAAGGAGTAATAGTATATGAAAGGATTAAGTAGGAATGAAGACTGAAGTGAGAAGAAAGTTAATATCTTTGGGGGTTGTTAAGCAAACAGTTTACTAGTCTCTGTTTTGATAAATCTAGTTCTCTAGCTTCTACCTTGACAGAGAAAGATGGGGTTAATTAGATATGGAACTGGTCTGAGCTCCCTTTGAAATAAAACTCTGATTGCGTTGAGTACTCCACTCTTGGGGCATATTAGAAACGTTTGCTTTCTCCAAAGTGTCTGCTCTTCATAAAAGGAATAGGTGCTAACTCATGTGAATTGATCAGATTCTCACGGAAGTTCTCAGACCACAGGCTAAACAAGAAACTTACTCCAATTTGAATGCAGGTAAAATGTCAGCATAAAGACCACTTATTTTTCAAATGGATTAATTGATTTGGTTTATACAATAGTAAATCAGGTCTTGGTATCATTTGTACAGAACAACTGATTCATTATCTCATATAAAGCACACTAATATATAACTTTTCATCATTTTAATCATACCAAATTGACAAAAATAAACATTATCAAAATTTCACAGAATTACAATAGAGTTAAGCTGGACACTGTAAGACACTATAATGAAATGTACTTTACCTCTATGGTCCGTTTACTAGTCTGAAGTCTCTGATCAGCCAAATGTAGCTGAGTTGTTAGTGTTTCATTGATTTCTTTAAATCCTTTCAAAGAAGACACTGCTGTCTTCTTTTCATTCTGTAAAACAGTTATCTGCTGCTGCAATGACTTAATTCTTTCCTGCAGTAGAGTAACAGAGCAGCCCGGTTTCTGGATAATGGTGTTTTTCCTTTTTGTTCTGTTCACTAAACATAAAATGGCATGTTACTAAACTGACAGTTCATCACAAATAAGATTATTTCTGATTTTTCTTTGGCCCTTCAAAACAATTTTTAGCCTCTAAAATACTATTCAGTAAGCAGACTGTTCAATTAATTCTGTTAACCTTTAAGTGCTCTATGTTGTTCTTTTTTTAAGTGTCAACACTGTGAACTTAACACAGACTTTGTGGTTAAATGTTGCTGAAGCTTTTGATTGATACCACCAGAAAGGAAGGCTTCAGTGTTGTGTTGGCAGATTATTATTTTTTTAAGGTCTAAGCCAAAATACAGTTGATTTTCTTTCACTGGCTGTGCTGGCTACAAGGGGCAAACAATAACAAAATGTAGTAAAAAGCCTTATTTTACTCAGAAGATTCAGTAAATGGGACTTAGTAAAAATAAGAGCATGAAAAGATGTTCTTTTACAGTCTTTTTTATATGAAATTTTCACTTTAAAATAAAGAGCTAAATCTTTGAAAATACACTCACACAAATTTAAACAAGTAAATCCTGCAGTAGGAAATAAGTGGGTTAGTTCAATATA